ATGGAGGTAGGTGTAGAGGGCCAGGGCCCATGAATAAATATTTCAGAGAGATAGATTGCTGTTTCTTCCATCATCCCCTCTGGAGTTGTAGGCAGGACCCTTGCCTTCTTATTTAAGAGTGAAAAATCTGTTGGAAAACTGTTATATAGGCTTTTAAAAATAACTGTTACAATTCCCAGCTTGAATGACTTGAGAGCCATGTCCTTATGTAGAAAAATCAAAAGGTTGCTTAAAAATGCAATCATTTAGATCAAGCCTTAATTTACCTTAACTCCTAGGTAATCATGCTGATAGGATGCAGGGGACACAGTCAACAGTCCTGCAGTGATGGTGCTGGTTGTTTTCTCTCATCCCTTGTGGTTCCCTTGGCCAGGACTGCTCTCTCTTTTGTACTGTTTCTGTGCCCCTTATCCCTTTAAACGTCCATCCCCCTTGTACTTATACAAGAGTTCGTGTTTTCTTCTTTAATCTCATGGTGAACTTTTTTTTTTTTTTTTTCTTTTTGGTAAGTTCTACAAATGTAGTCAATTCTTTGAGAAACATTTGATTCAACAGCCAGGTTACCTGGTTGTCAGATGTTATTCATATGTACCTTTGAAACTGAATATTTAGAAAAAAATTGGCTGAACAGTATTTTTGTAGGATGATTTTAAAAGTCTTTTTGTTCTTCATTTCCTAGTTGATTAAAAAAAAAAAAATCAGTCATTCTTGCTCTGCTAACTGATTTTTTTCCCTCAGACACAAACAGTATGTTTGCTGCTATTGGCTACATTAAAAAACAAAACAAAAACAAACAAACTCCAAAGATTGAGTGATCCTCTAAAAGAATATTTATTTTTTATTTTAAAATATGACACATCAAAGTGAAGCAGTTACATTTTAAACAAATAAGAAGACATAAAAGCTTTTCATGGAGTTGGGAGAGAAGGTAATTTGCTTTACTTCACTGTCACTCTGGACTCCAGGAATAAGAATGGTCACTGTTTTATTCCACTCTGAGCATTGAGTATAAAGATGAGAAGTTTTGGTTACTATTTAGTAAAGTTTTAAGATTTTAGTGTTACCCAGAAATTAAAACTTCCTCAGTAAAATAACCTTTTCTGCATTTTGTGCCACATCCTGTAGAAGTCCTGAATTTGGGGATGCTGCTGTATTTACAGTTGCTTCTCCAGATCAGTTCCAATGAGAAATAATTTGTTTCCTCATCTTCTTCCCATAGATTTCTCATTATAATACTTTTGTAGTGGAATACTTTATTTTTGAGAATGTTTGTTTACTATTTTTTTATATTCATAATGATAAATTTCAGACAAAAATTAAAATATCCTACAGTAATCAGCAGTTTATACAATAATGCCTTATTAATATATAATAAACAACCACATTTAGACTGATTAAAAAATAAAAACCAACACAAATATGGAAAAGCCTCATTTTTCTAAAGAAATATATCTTTATTGACTTTTTTCATTTTCTTACAAAGCAGTTAAAAAACTCACTAGACAACCTTGACCTTGCATACTATTCGATGTTATGATGGCTGCCTCCTTAGGAGACTGCAGTGGAGCTGTATGTAGTAGTAGTTTTTGTAAGCACCACAGAAGATCATCTTTGCTTGGTCCCACTTTGACAGGAAAGAATCCAAGTTTCAACACGTAGTCTATACTTAGCTCTCTTGAATCAGACCAGTTTAGTGGATTACCATCTAATTTTCATATGGTAATAAAGACAAACTTTGAATCTTTACAGATTAAATGCCCACCTTATACCATGGTGTAATTGTTTGAATTATGGGTGAGTGTACAGAATATAGATGTAAATGTACTAGATATGTCTATAAATAAAATAGTGCTTTAAGGTAACATTATTCTTTGGCTGACTTAATGGTAGACTCTTATGAAAAAGACTAAAATGAAAATGGCCCCACAATGATTGTCAATCTTAACACTGAGCTTGTGCGGAAAGTTCCTATACTACTGACTGTCAGCATCTCCAGGTCCACGATATATTCTCTTGGTCCTGATAGCGTCTTCACCAGTACAAGCATTGCACTTACAGGACTTGTTTGCTTTAAAAAAAAAAAAAAAAAAAAGAGAGAGAGAGAGAGAAAGAGAAGAAAAGAGGGAGATAATTTTTCTTGAATTGGAGTTTCTATTATTTGTGTGTATACCACCTATAAGAATTAGGGGAAGAATTTTGAGGGTAGGATAAAAGAAGAGCCACTACTTAGGCCCTTTTTGATCCCAACAAGTTACTTTATCCCTTGTCCATCCATAGTCGTTAGCTTCAAGTTATAGTGACTGATTTTTCTGGGGAGTTCTTTGTTTTTCAGTCCTCCCTCTCTTTTAACATTTCTCTTCACTTATATTGTATAGCTCCAGCCTTTATATTAACTAGAGTTCAAGTGAGAATCTGGTAATTTTTGAAATGGTAAACAAAGTTGTCATTTCTCTACTTTTCAACACTGTATACCACTTTTAATCTAGTAATTGAAGAGCAATGTGAATAGTTAATTTCTGCAGATAGCAAATGGAAAGATACCCAGGGACATAGAAAGCATGTATAAAGATACATAAAGGTGTATATACACAGGGAAAAAGAGATGACATTAAAGGAAAGCTTTTGAATACTCGAGAATCACCCAGGATAAATAGAAATAATGCAAAAAAGTATTTTCAGGAAATCTGGATGCGTTTGATGAAGAGTGTGATGGATGCTGGGGCATAGAGAGGGATGAAGTTGGTAGGGCAGGTAAGGGCAGGTAAGTGAGTCTGAATGCAAGAAAGTGGACAGGGACAGAGACAAGGGTCAAATTCTGCAATCGTTAGAATGGATGGACATTAAGCCTTGGAACAGATGCGATAAGGCTGGAGTTCTGGGAGAGGCTTACATTTAAAGAGTGAGCAGAGGAGAAACTATTGAAGGAAACAGAAGAAATGGATGAGTAAGTGGTGAATAGATGAGTAGTCATCAGCATCAGGGGATCCTGAGGATGACTGGGAATTAAAAGTTTCCTCTGGATTCAGCAGTGTGGATGTTGTTGTGGCTTTTTCCAAGAACAACTTCAGTAGAGTAGTGGGAAAAGAAAACTGAGGAGTGACTAGCAAGTGAGGACCCACAGGCTGTGATTACATACTGTGTTGTAAGAGCCTTAGCCATGAAAGGAGAGGAGAGGGAGGGCAATATGTAGAGTGGAAAACTGAGGTTGAAGGTAGGAGACAAGAGGGAGTCTCACAGGACAAGCAGAGAAGATGGAATGAATAATACAGGTGCTGCATTGGCCTTGATTAACAGAAGTGAAACTCTGTCCTTGGCAACTGGAGGAAGGAGAAAAGAAGGGGACACATGGATTTAAGTTTTCAGTGGGGTAGGATGAGAAGTTCAGGTAATTCATGCCTGTTGGTCTCAGTGGTTTCAGAAGAGTAGGAGATGAGGTCACCTACTGAAAATGAAAGGTATTGGGACTTAAAATGATCCCTGGATGGCACAAATGATTAACACACTCAGCTGCTAACTGAAAGGTTGGAGGTACGCGTAGTCCACCGAGAGGTGACTTGGAGAAAGGCCTCGTGATCTACTTCTGAAAAATCAGCCATTAAAAACCTTATCCAGCACAGTTCTACTCTCATACCACGAGTCAGAATGGACTTTAGGGCAAATGGTTTTAGGGATTTAAAGAGAATGGGGAGGTTTGGGATCAGAAGCTGAAGAGAATGGAATGAAAGAGGGAAGGAAAACTAACAGGACTGAGGACTCATCTGCAGGTGGAGACCCAGATTTTAGTTTTGTCAATCTGTGTTGACAAGCTGGCTGGGAAAGTGGATATGGACTTTGGGACTGATCCAGAGTTGTTGGACAGGGAGTTGAGGTGTTGGTGTTTAGAGTAATTCAAGTGTCCACCAAGCAGTTGATAAATTGGAGGGGTCAAATGGAGGGGTCAGGGAACTAGTATCATTTTGAGGGTGAAGAACAGATTAAGCAGGAGTGAGGGCATGGGGTTTGGTGGCAGAGTAGCGTGGAGCTGAAGGTCATAGGAGGTGAGATGGCCAGGGAATTTGTAGGCTAAGGTATTAGACGATTCTGAGAGCATCCAGATTATATTATGGAAAGGAACACTCTTCATAATCTAGACTTTCCTTATCCTAGGCACTCTGCTCTTTTGAGTGATCTCATCTACTACCTACAAACTCTCCCTGGTTTACCTCATCCATACCCACGGCTTCATTTATCATGTATTTCCTAGTGACTTGAAAATCTCTATTTTGAGTTCTAAGCCCACATATCCAATTATCTATGTGTTTTCTCATGGGGATCAGAACTCAGTATGTTCAAACTGGACTACAGGCAGTTCCTGGGTTACAAATGTCCAACTTACATACAACCCATAGTTACAAACCAACTCCCTGTAAGGCTTATTATACTAAATATTTTAGGTACATATGATGGTTTGTAATAGCAAATGGGTGCTACTTTGCAACATGAATCAAAACATTATTATTACTGGATTTATTATGTTAAAGATGTTTTAGTTTTAGTGTATCTAGAAGTGTTTCTTTAATGTTTTTTATGCATAGAAGGATATACTATATACTATATATAACACAAACATGAGACTGTCATTAGATATAAACTGTACCTAACTGTTCCAACTTACATACAAATTTGACATAAAGACAGATTTAGGAATGGAACTCTTTTATAATCCACTGGCTCTCAAGACAGAAACTTGAGCATTATCCTTATTGTTTCCTTCTCTTTCATCACCTTAGCAAATGGGATATCAAATCTTGTTCTTCCTAAATACATGTGTGCACTTTTTTTGACCCACTGTAATCTCCTAGACTCCCATCTCTTAAACTCCTAACTGATGTCCCCACTTCCATTCTTACCCAGCTCCTATCCAGGCTCTACAGTGTGGCAAGGCATCTTTTTAAATTTTTTTTTTTTCCCAGTTTCAAAAATATTTTTGAATTGTATTCTTTTATATTTTATATCGAGCACCTACATTTAACTATTACATCTGTTTCCATTCCATCATTCATCATCCATTCATCAGCAGTAGTAATTGAGGCCTAATTGTTACTTAAACTCACAAAGGATTATCTCATGTAACAGATAGGTAAACAGGCCTTTTGTATTTGTTTATTGTTTTTCCTGGTAAATATTAGCTATTATTCACTCTTTCTGTTTGGCCAGGCATGTTTTTAACACGAAAATCATGATAGTGACTCTTCAACTTAAACCCTTGAGAGAGCCTGTAAAGCCTTGTGTGATCTAGCCCCTGTCGAGTTTTCTGGGCTCCTAGCAAGCCATTCTGTCTCTACCACTTGAAGTTCCAGACTAACTACACTGGTTTTAGTAGACTTCATTTTGTAGAGCAGGAGATTGGGTGGTGCAAGCAGTTTGAGATTGGCTGTTAACCAAAAGGTGGGTGGTTCAAACCTACCCAGAGATGCTGAGGGAGAAAGGCCTGGTCAATTGCTTCTGTAAAGATTAAAGTCAAGAACATTTCATGGAGCAGTTCTATTCTGTAACACTTGGGGTCACCAAGACTGAGGGCTGACTCAACGGCAGCTAACAACAAGTTTTGGGAGCAGTTTCAGGTTTTCAGAAAAATTGTACAGAAAGTACTGAGAATTTCCCTTTACCTCCTCCTCCTGCACATTGTTTCTCCTGTTAACAAGTTACATTCCTGCTAGACTGCTTTTTATTCCTTCTATTTGTCAGATTCTAATTTGTTCTTCTGCTTAAATACCACTTACTCCAGGAGGCTCCCTGATCACTCCTGTTTCAGTTAGGTCCACTTGGTATACATTTGGAGCTACTTGCAACTTTGTTGTAACATTCAGCAAAGTTGTGAGCACTCATTCTCTGTCTTGACTATAAGCTGCATTGGGCAAGGATTGGCTTTGTTTTTTCATTGCTGTATCTCTAGGAACTTGCATAATGGCCTCCTACAGGCAATAGTTGTAGGTAATAGTAATACCTTGCAGGATTGCTGATTGGATTCATCCATTCATTTAGAAATATTTTTTGAACACCTGCTGTGAGCAAGGTTCCATTCTATGTGCTAAGGATAGAGCAGTGAACAGACAGGCAGAGTCTGCTTTAATTGTGCTCATATTCTAGTGGGAACACAGACAAATGAATAATATGCCAGGTGGTTCCAAGAGCTATAAACAAAAACAAGGCTTGGTAAAGGGGATAAAAAATGGAGGTGGAGGTGCTATTGTACCTTCAATTTCATGATTGACTTTTTTTTCCAATATGTCCCCTTTTCCATGTTCTCCCAAAAGCAATAAAAATATAAATCCTCTAATCCATGTACCCTTTCAAGGACAAGGTCAAGTCTATTGACCTTTAAGAAACCTTGTTTGACCAAAAATGCAGAGAAGAAACGAGTCTACGTGAGCCACAACCTCATCTACTCTGAGACCAAAAGAACTAGATGGTGCCCAGCTACCAACACAGACTGTTGGGGTCACAATAGTTGGTCCAGGATAGAAGGGGAGAAGAATATGGAACAGAATTCAAATTCTTATTTAAAAAAAAAAAAAGAAAGCTAGATAAACTGAAAAGGTAGAAAACAGAGACCTTCCTGAGATACTCTTTAAAACTAGAACTGAGCCTATTCCTGGAGATCACCTTTTAGAAAATAGCAGAGGGGCACACAAAATAAAGAATATTACCTGTAAGATTGGTGCCCTACTTAAAAACCATCAGTATGAACCCAAAAGGTCAACAATTACTCAAAAGCAAAGATGAGAAGATAAGGGGGCAGGGAATGTAGGATATTAGAAAGGGAACAAACTGAATACAATTAAAGAAAATATCGACACATTGTGATAAATATAACTGAACAATTTGTGTAGAAATTATCAAGTGGGAACCTAACTTGCTGTGTAAACTTTCACCAAAAACTCAAAAAAATATTAAAAAAAAAAAAAAAAAAAGAGGAAACTTTTTTTGACTATTCCAGTTCACGTTAATTCTCTGATGTCTTTGAACCATGGAAGTAAGCACACAATTGTCTTTTTTTTTATGCATGTTAACTTTTGTCTCCTAGTAACGTTTCAAGCTCTTTGAAATCAGAAACCATGCATTATATGTCTTTTTCTTGCCTCATAGCATCTAGCATGGAGTTGAGCACAAAGTGGGTACTTAAGGTCTGATGGTTGATTCTTATGTATTAAATGCTCTCTGTATATGTGGAATTTCAGTTGAGAAACTTTGTAGGATTCGATCTTGAATTATGTGATATAAAAGAAATAGTCTTTAATACCACTTTTATTATTTAAAATAGTTTTTGTTTAAAATAATTTAAAATTATTTAACTCTAGAATTATTAAAATTGGCAATGTTTTATTCATTCATGAGAAAACACTGTGATATCATTTATGTTTGAAGATATCAAGTTGAGAAATACAATGATATAAATTATAAGTAACTATTAAAGCTAAGGAGCTCTGCTGGCGTAGTGCCTAAGGCATTTAACTGCTAAAGGCTGGCGGTTCAAATCCACCAGCAACTCCTCAGAAGGAAGATTGGTCAATCTACTTCCGTCGTGATACCACCTCGGAAACACAACGAGGGGTCACCGTGAGTCGGATCCAATTCGATGGCAGTGAGTTTGGTTTTTTTGGTTTATTAAAGTGCTATGCTTACTGCACAAAATAAAAATGCATTTTTTTTTTTTTTTTACAGGAGTAAAACTGTTGATTCTGCTAGGAAATTTTATTTTTTAACTGTTAACTGTTGATTCTGCTAGGAAATTTTATTTTTTTCACTTATGGCTCAGAATTCATAATGGAAATTATTTTTAAAGAAGATTTTGAGATGAATCTATTTAATTGTCATGAGGTTACAATTAATGTTATTTGCCTGGGTTACAATTATTAAATTGGCATTACCTGAACTGTGTGAAATTCAATTAGAGGAAACTTCTTACAAATATCTGGTATCTCAAATTTCAAACATCACATGTTAAAGAAATAAAAAAGAATATTAATAGATTGTATTTTGGGCTGGGTTTTCCTCTTCAGAAGTTGGTCATGAGAAATTAATCATTTCTAATTTACTGGCAAAGGAACAGAATCACATAACTCTGGAGCTGGAAAGGAATTTAATATATCAAAGACCAGGATAAACGTGTAAACATTAGCAATCTGTAAACTTTACCACAAGCATGAATTTTCTAATTTACTTTTCATACTCTCAAAATGAAATATTGACTTTAAAGTCTGATTTAAAATGAAGAGCGCCCAAAGGACTTTTGAGAAAACTGTAACTGGATGAATAACATCCTTAGCATGAAACAGTTACTGTAATCCTGTAAACTGCTTGGTGAGGTGCCATCATTTTCACATGAAGTGGTGAGCTGTATTTAAAATAAGTTAGAATTTTAACCTAAAATGAACTTGCTGAGATTTTTCATGGGGAACTGGAGGCTCTGGAGTCAGGGAAATTAGCTAAGAAGTCACTGGAAGAGTTTGGGAGGTGAAGACAGCCAGTGTAAAGAAGAGAAGCAAGGGGCATGGAGAAGCCATGACAATCTAGGAGACAATGCTGAGAAAGAAATGGCAGACTTCACAGAAAGCTGTGACGTAGGCAATGAAAGGAAAAGACATGGGTGACCTCACTGTGTTTGGCTGGAAGTTTGCAAGAATGCTATAGCTACTGACACATGATATATGAGGACAGCGGTAGAGTGGGTAAAGCATTTGGCTGCTAACCAGAAGGTGGCTGTTCAAACCCACTCGCTGCTCTGTGGGAGGAAGATGAGACAATCTACTCCTGTAAAGATTTACAGCTTTGGAAATCTTGTGGGGGTCACTAGGAGTCAGAATCAACTCGATGACAGTGGGTTTTGTTTTTTGATTTTTGGGATGTAGTGAGAAGGTGTTTCTCAGAGACAAAGGAGTTTAAATTTTAGTGTGAATGTGATTGGTCTTATAAATGTAACAGTAGGGAATTCACAATTTTTGAAAAGAAGCTCTCTAAACTCACTAAAAACGCACTGCTGTCAAGTCAATTCTGACTCAAAGCCACCTCTCCTTGGGTTTCCAAAGTGGTATCTCTATGGAAGTAGATTGCCCAATCTTCCTTCCGAGGAGTGGCTGGTGGGTTTGAACTGCCAACATTCCAGTTAGCAGTCAAATGCCTTAGGTACTACACTACCAGAGCTCCCAAAAAGCTCTCTAGGAATTATTTTTTCCTATTAGACAATCAAATAACTAAATGATTTGTGGTACCTATTTGGGGTGTGTATGTGTGTGTAAGCTTGCATTTTGTTGGTTAACACACAACTCCATTAGAGTCTGCAAGTTGGTATTGGATTGACTCTAGGGAAGCTAACTTCATCTCTCTGAGGCTTACTTTCCTCTTCTGTAAAAAATGGAGATAAATATTAATATCTATTTGACAGTGTTACCAAGAAAATGAAATGAGATAATTCACAGAGAAAGACATTTCACAAAGCCTGCATATTTAAAATTCTTTAAAGGTTAGTTTCCCTTCCACATGAATACTTAAAAAAAAAAAAAAAAAAAAAGATATTTCCATCCTTCTCAACAGCCAAGCTTGCCTTCCAGATACTTACCCTTAGGTAGAATTCTCCATTTTCATTTCCAGATTTAATCCGAAAAGTATTGATAGTGTTGGCATAAATAGTTGTAGCCTGTATTTGGAAGATGTCTGAGGGCACAGACCTGTCAGATCGGATGCTCATGTATTTGTACACTATGGACTGGGGGAGTTCTCGGCACACAGCATTTGACACTGGGCAAACACATCGGCTGCAGAGACAAGCATAAGTATTCAGTTTGGCTTGGTAAAGACCAGAGGAGTCTCAGTTTCAAAAGTTCTGATTTTTCTTACTTCTCTGATGTAAGAATGTAGGGGTCTTGACAAGGATTTCGTGGGTAACAACGGAAGCCACCATGATAATTCCAACACATTTCATCCTCCCGGCATTCATTTGTGGTCTCACACTCATTTATATCTGTAGAGACGTAGGGGCAAAGAGTTTACTGATCTAAGTAAACTGTAGAAATGGCATATTCTGGTTTTCAAGGATGGGTGCGTGTTGGACTAAGGACTGTGTTTAATTTGCTTTTATACACAAGATTGAGTAGAACCTGAGTTCATCACTTTGAATTCAAGATAGATGTAGCTGAGCAATTTTAGGCAGATTAATATGTGTCAATTCATTATATTTTACTGACCCGTGCACTGCTGATCGGCTAAATGCAAAGCCAAACGCTAGCCACTGACCCTGCTTATATAAAAGTGAAGACACTCAGTTCCTGCCCTTAGGGAGATTACAATTGAGTTGGGACTATAGGTATGGCAGGAGTCCCTGGGTGGTGAAAATGGTTAATGCACTTGGCTGCTAACCAAAAGGTTAGAGGCTTGAGTCCACCCAGAGGTGCACCGGAAAAAAGGCCTGATGATGTACTTTGGAAAATTCAACATTGAAAACTATAGAGCACAATTCTACTCTGACGCACATGGGATCGCCAGGATTTAGAATCAGCAACAAGTGGTTTGTTTTTTGGTTATAGATACAGCAACAGTTAATTATAAGATAAAGTATAATTAAATAAAAATAGGTAAGTGCCCTGGAAAACTGGAAGTAGATTTGATTAATTCTACATGGGGATTAGAGAAGGCTGAAGGGAGGAAGAGGCCTCTCAACTAAATCTTGAAGGGTAGTTAGATGGGGTTTTCATGGCTGTGGTGGGGAGAGCCTTCCAGGCTGAGAAAACATCAAGCAAAAAGTCTTGAGAAGGCAGTTTATCATCTAGCTCAGGGTCTTGAAAGAGAGGTAAAGGCTAGAGATGTGGTTCAAATAAGTATATGGTAGTCGATGCTCTAGTGGTGTAGTGCCTAAGGCATTTGACTGTTGACCAGAAGTCTGGTGGTTCAAACCCACCAGCCACTCTTCAGAAGGAAGATTGAGCAATCTACTTCATAGAGATACGGCCTCAGAAACCCAAGGAGGGGTCACTATGAGTCAAATTGACTCGATGGCAGTGGTGGAAGGAAACCCAATAAAAGGCAGTGTCAAAGAAAGTAGAGGGGCAGAGGGCCAGGGAAGGTGTGTTATATACAGATCAGGCTGGAGAAGGACTGACTTTGGTAATTAGGAATTCCTAGAACAGTTTCACTAGAAATCTATCATATTTAAAACAACGATCGGTATCAATAAGTGGCATGGCCACTTGCTGTGGAATTGATTCTGACTCATGGTGACCCCATGTGGGCCAGAGTAGAACTGTGCTCCAAAGGGTTTCCAATGGCTGATTTTTCAGAATCAGATCCCCAGGCCTTTCTTCAGAGGCACCTTTGGATGGATTAGAACCTGTAACCTTTGGGTTAGCAGCCAAGCAGGGTAAGTTTGTATCACCCAGGGACTCCACTCACATCCATGCCTATGTCTATATCTCTTTACATTTGAATAATGATTTATATTTTATGCAGTATAAGCCTTTTCAAAATCATTACTTCCCATAGTTGAAAATTTTCATTCATTCATTCAATAATTTACTGAATCCTGCTACAAGCCAGTCAATAGCAAGGAACTGGGATCCAATCTCTTTCTCTTTGAATTCTCATAGGTCTGTGTTCCTTTTCTGTGTCCTTTATTGCTTTCTGCTTTGCTGTGTGTTTGTCCTAACTTTTCCATTAGCTTCTAAACTCCTTGAAATCAGGGGCTATCTTTTTACACTTGTGTTTTTATCCCTTTGATTACCTACTATTTCTGCACTGGGAGCACTTGGTTTTCTAGAAGTATTCAATTGAACTAAGTTGCTCATCTCACAAACCATGTGGAAATAGGTGGGAAAGGTAATATTTCCACTTGACATGGAGGAAAACAAATAAGGGTTAAATGACTGGCCCAAGTTCACACAGTTAGGGAGAGGTATCATTGGTATTCCATCCTCTAAATGAGAATTATTCTATGCCTTGTCTTTAAAGAAAAACATTTTCTTTTAGTCTCCAAACTGGCTAAAGTTATCCTGAGCCCAGGAGAACACTGGAAAACTATGTAGCTTCCAAGAGTCAGCTATAAGAAGTGTCTTCTTTTGGACTGGTTATGGCTAAAGAAAGAACACTTAGATCCCTGAGAGGAAATCACAATTGACTTGTTCATTCCGTAGTTTCATGGATACTGTTTAGCTATTGGGAAACCAAGACTAGTTTGTTATATAAAGTCTAATAGTGGCAAAAGTAAATTTTATGTTATCATTTCATTTATTATTAATTTAAACCATAGCAAAACCAAAAGCTTAATCATTCCAGAACTTTTTCAGAAACTGTGTTAAAATATTCAATGAATGTGTGCGCATGCGTATTTTTTTTTTTTTGGCAAGACTGTGGAAATGAGAATTATTTCGTCCTCAAAATAAACCTTGTAGAGGAAGGTGAGAATACAAATTTTTCAGTTTTAGCCAAGCATTCTGAAGCTGCACGTCTTCAAGATACAGTATTTTTAGATACTCATTTGTAGTTCCAGTGCCTTTTTCACCTTTGATTGTAATAGATATAATATAGACTAAAAACAACCCACTGTCATCAAGCCAATTCTGACTCATAGGTAAAATTTCATTGTTTAATTTGCTTCTTTCTTTTGCTGAGCATCAAATCCATTTATGATCAGAAACACAAAGACACTTGTTTTCAGGACTCCAGAGGAATAGGTTAAGCTATCCCCACTGGCTAACATTTTCCTGCATGCAATATTCACGTTAGAAGTCTCAGTTAGGGTCCAGAAAGTAAAGCCATTGATAGGCAATGTTTTTTTCCAATTAACATTTACAGAATCTCTGGTAACCTGGAAAGAGTTATAAAGACGTTCATTGTGCAATGCCATTAAGTATGAGCAATTATGCTCATACTTAGTGGTTGGAGTCTAGTTGAGTAATTGTATGCATAATAAAATTCCAGGTCATGGATCTTCCTCTAAATTAACACTTTTCCTGCAAAATCATGATACAGACTGAGAATTGCCAATGTCTCCTTTTCTTAATATTTCCTCTCTCTTTATTGCCCTGACCTCTCTCAAGTTCTGATAAAAAAGACCTCTCTAGAAAAGATTTGCTACTAGTCCTTTACACTGCTGGCAAATTTCATAGCACATTGAATTGTATAGGCTTAATAGTTTATAGATTATTTTTACATATGGTGTTCCATTTGAGCCCTAGTGGCACAGTGGTTAAAGTGCTCAGATGCTAACTGAAAGGTCAGTGGTTTGAAACCACCAGCCACGTCCTGGGAGAAATATGTGGCATTCTGCTTTCATAAAGATTTACAACCTTGGAAACCCTATGAGGCAGTTCTACGGAGTTGCTTTCAGTTGGAGTTGACTTGACAGCAGTGGGTTGTGTTCTATTTCATTCCCTCAACTCCCTTCTCCAAGCTGAGGTTTAAAGAAGTTTTGTAATTTGTTCAAGATCACACAGATAGAATGCAGTAGTTAGGACTCACACAGGTTTCTGTCTTCAAATCCAATCTTTTTTCTTTACTCTTTTACTGCTTTCATGTAAATTTAAGTGTTGTACTAGTGCCTAAGGCATCTGACTGCTAACCAGAAGGCTGGTGGTTCAAACCCACCAGCCATTCCTTGGAAGGAATCTACTTCTGTAGTGATACAGACTTGGAAACCCAAGGAAGGGTCACTATGAGTTGCATCCAACTCCACAGCAGTGAGTTTGCTTTTTTTTTGGTACTAGCTTTCGCATGGAGGTTTACCTTTTAGATCTTGACTAACCAGTCAAGCAATTTTAAAATACATGTAGCATTAGCAGTGGGGGAAGAGGGTGCATATTTTTTGAGCTTCCTGAGAGATTCCGAAATCACATCCCACAGGAAGATGCCTCTTCTATTTATGTGTAGGCGTGAATATCACCTGAGTGGTCTTATTTTGAAATTGGATCCAAAGATATTAGCTATATTAGGATCAATAGTTTTCTCCAAAGAACTCAAGTACTTTTTAGTACCCATTTGGCTGATTTCCTTAGGAACTAAATTACTACTTAATATGTAATCTTGGTGTTTTAGAGAATTGAGACTAGTTTGAAGCATGCTTCGCACAAACATTAAACTTAAGTTCTATGCTTAAATTCATGGTGAAATATTTTAATAATCAAATCTTTTCTGATCGTTCATTGCAAGAGCATATCACTGAAATTATGTAGACTATAAACAGGGGATGTCAATATTTTATTAAAATTATTTCTATTTCAAGAAAAAAAAAAACTATTACTCCAAGTTTAAAGAAAAATCATTAACACTGACCAAAAAAAAACCAAACTCACTGCCATTAAGTGGATTCTGACTCATAGCGACCCATTTTGGTTTCCGAGGCAGTAACTCTTTACAGAAGTAGATTGCCCAGTATTCCTTCCATGGAGTGGCTGGTGGATTTGAACCACCAACATTCTGGTTAGCAGTCAAATGCCTTAGGCACTACGCCACCAGTGCTCCTTCATTAACACTGAGTACACTCTTTTTGAGTTGTGCATACCTCATTATGGATAGAGGAAGAAAGAGCTTAAATTTCAGGTGGGAAAAATGGAAATCCTATAACTTCCTCCCTGCTTTTCCTCATTAACAAAACACTTAACAGATGTAGCATTCTCTAACCAAACCAAACTCACTGCCCTTGAGTCGAACCTGACTCACAGTGACCCCCTCCTTGGGTTTCCAAGGCGGTATCCTTCTATTACATGATTATACAAGTGGTTAAAAAAAAAAACAAACTCACTGCTGTTGAGTCAACTGCAACTTATAGCAACCCCTCCTTGGGTTTCCGAGGAGGTATCACTACGGAAGTAGATTGTCCAACCTTCCTTCTGAGAAGTGGCTGGTGGGTTTGAACCACCAGCCTTTTGGTTAGCAGTCAAGTGCCTTAGGCACCATGCTACCAGAGCTCCTGGAGAAGCATAAAATTAACCATCATAGAAGATATGAGAAAATCTGAAGCTTACCCTGACATGTTCTACTTCTCATCACTTGGTATCCCTGGGGACACATACATGAGAACTTCCCAGGTTCATTGACACATTGATATTGACACAGGTAGCTGGAAGTTCTGCACTCATCAATGTCTGTTGAATTAAATAAGAGCAAGGATACAGAGTTGAGAAACTTACACATCTCTACTTTGGTGACTTTATTTTTTTTTAAGATGAACTAAAAGGAGTATAAACACTGCAAACTCTGAAACAGAGTTACCAGTATTTTATAAGAAGCACAAGGGCAAATTCGAACAATATCAGCTAATTTCTTCTATGATTTCATAGCACAAAGAATATTTCTTACCCTTACTTTTACTGAATCATTGCTGACAGTTTGGCTAATCCTGGACCTCGCCTTACTAGTTTAACAGACTGAATGAATTGGCTTGTGGTCGACACTCTTCACTTTGGGCTCTGCAGATCCATGCATAATGCAGATTCATGTTTGCCTTCTCAGAAACTGGGTGGCTCTGCCACCCGATTTCATCTGAGCTTTGAACTCCAAGTCCCATCACTGAGCTAACTTCCAGAGAGGGTGATGTCTTGGCAGGGTCTGGCCTTCAGGGGAGGAATGCTTTGCATTTCTGAATGGTGATGTCCTACAATTTACTCAGAAGGGCAGAGGCAGCTGTTCTGAGCCAGCCCCATTTGGTTTTGAGAACACAGCATGATGCGAGTTCTCTCTGGGTGGGGTCTGACCTCTGTGTCCCCAAGTAAAGCTGGGAGAGTCATGAGGAAGTCAGAGAAATCAATTGTCAATGGAATCCCTTTCAGGAATGTCTTAGGCCTTTTGAACTACACAGTGGAACATGCACATGCAGTGGACTCTGAAGGCCCTCCATCCAGTTAAATGGTCTTCTTTCTACTCAAGTGGAAAGTAAAGCCCTGGCAGCTTAAAAATGTGCCCAAATCATTCAATGGCAGAAATAAGACTAGGACCAGGTGTCTTGGTTTCTATTCGAATGTTTTTTGACATGCAACCAACCCTTCTCACACTTGAGTGTGCACACCTGGCATTTGGAGAGCTTTTTAAAATGCAGATTCTGACTGTACGTCTAGGATTTGTACCCGAGATTCTGTCTTTCTCTCAAGCTCCCAGGAGGTGCTAATGATGTTAGTCATTGGATCACATTTTGAGAAATTAGAATCTAGAGCACCCCTTCTAATGATTAGATGCACACTATATCTAATATTTCACTTACTTTGTTTCTTCTCTTTTCTCTTGGTAGCATACTGAAAAGCTAATGTTACAACTGATTAACAGGATTTTACCAGAGAATTTCCATGGAAAAAAATTTATTTTCCCAAACAGGTACATTATCACGTAAAGCAACAGCAATCACAGGTATTGCTCCCCTGAGCTGGGCTCTTATTACACATTATTTCGAAAACATTTTACCTTCACAGTTGAGCCTGTCACTGCTTAGCTCATATCCTTGATTGCACTGACAGATGAATGAACCAAGAATATTGTAGCATTGCTGAGCACATTGATTGCTGGCATCACATTCATTTATATCTGAAAGGAAAGGAGTTTTATATACATCTTTAAGCAGAAACTTGCTCTTTTGTACCTATGTCATCTGATGATAAGTAATTCCCAAGCTGAATTCTTTGCCCTGCAGAAGCTCACTGGAGAACATCCATGCAGGTTTCATATTTATTGGAAAAACTTCAAACATATGTGTAATACTTCTTTTAGAAATACCAGAACAATTTTTCTAGGAATGACATTTAGTTTGATGTTTGATGAACCTTTCCCAAAAAATTTAATGCTTCTAATAAATATACATTCCACCATCTATTTTTTTGTTGTTGCTGTTCAGATACAAAATGCCAAGACTATAAATTATTGATAGAAGACACACATACTGATATAGTCTCTCAGCATGTTGTAGTGAAGATTTATCTGTGCTATTTATTACTTTTTAAATGGGTTCTGTTGAATTCCATTACAATTATAACATAAGCCTTTGAGACCCATATGGAGTTTTGCAATGCTCTGAGGCACTGAAAATATTGTGAAAAGGCATTTTTCTTGCAGTAGATTCTTTCCATGTCATGCCAATCTTAAAACTGTGTGCCGTGACACTGCATTCTGAAAGGGGAGAAGAGGCATGTAAAAATCAGATTTGCTGTGAGTGGAAAATTTATGTACATGAACTTGCAATAACCCCTTTAGCACCTCCAGCATTTATATCATAGAGTGTTGACTAATTGGTGTGTGTATATCAATTGATCTGCAGTTTTTAATTGTTCAAATACACCCAAAAACTAAAACCAAGGTTAAAAAAGTTTTCCATTCACATCTTGTATGTTTTAAGAAACAGACTGGTTATTGTCTGTTTAGCTTTATGATTGCTTAAGGGAAGTTGATAAAAACTGGTTCATAGAAAATTGGAAATTCTGCAATGTGGCATGGGATATGCTTTTTTGAAGACACAAACCAGTGAGCCAGGATGGCAGTTCCCAAAAGGCTTACCTACACAGGTGTAGTTGTTTGCCGCCAACTGAAACCCAGGACTGCACTGGCAATAAAAGGAGCCTGGCGTGTTCACACATCTTTGGTGGCAGTACGGAGGGGTGGCACATTCATCTATGTCTACATTATCACACACACACAGATAAAGAGCCAAGTTATTGACTATTCACAGCTGTTTGCTTTCAAGTGTTCAGTAGAGCATTATCTAGGCAACCTATCTAGAGAAGACCTCATTTTTTTTTTTTTAATTTTTATTGTGATTTGGGTGAAAGTTTACAGAGCAAATTCATTTTCCATACAGCAGTTCACATACATTTTGTCTCATCACATTCACTGCAATTTCCCACAATGCAATAGCTCTCTTCCCACTTTCTTCCCATAGTTACCTCTTTCTGTGTCTTTCCCCGCCATGTATTCCTGCTCTCTGAGCTGTCTCCCTGTGCATACACAGCCCTTCTATTTTCCCATGATTGATCTCTCCATGGTGTGTATCTACCTAATGTAAATGTTCAGTTCATATGCCTTTCTTTTGTTTGGCTAGAAGCCACAGGAACGGGTTCAATTCCAGACCTGAAGGGTAGCTAAAGGCCCTAGTCTCAGTAGTTCCACCAAGCTCTATCAGACTAGCAAACCTGGTTCCCCCCACCTTTTTCTTTTGTGATTTTGAGTTTTGTTGCACATTGTTCTCCCAGTCTATCCAGGATCTCCTACAGAAATCCTCCTCCCAGTGGTTGACAGTGGTAGCTGGGCACCATCTAGTTCTTCTGATCTCATAGTTACATAGGCTGAAGATTGCATGGTGTACCAGTCCCTTGGACTAATTGTTTCCATGTGTCTTTGGTTTTCTTCATTCTTCTTTGCTCTGGACGAGGAGAGACCAATTGTTGCATCTAGTTGGCTGTTTGCAAGCTTTTAAGATCCCAGTTGCTACTCACCAAGGTAGGATGTGGACCAATGTTTTTGTGTAGTATGTTATGCCAATTGAGCATGACAGGGAAGACCTCATTTCAAAAATAATTATTTTTCTCAATTTTTTGTGTGTGTGTTATTAAAATTAGGGTGTGTATGTTTTCAGTACATTTTAGTCTCTATTCTGCAGTTAAGTTAGATATTAAGAACATCGTTCACACCATTCAGTGGCAAATAGACCTGGTTTTGTGTGTTGAGATTTAAAGGGAGAAATGTACTTAAGAAATCTCATATACGTGTGAAAAAGATTATGTTAATGTGAAGAATGGAGTGATAGTCAATGAATGAATAAGCAGTTGTTAGCTTTAATTCCTCAAATAAATGAGTGCTTTGCTTTGAATGCCTGAGGTTTAAATAATTAGGATGCTCAATATAAGACTTTGCCTATCACACCAGGATACTTACCAACACACTGCTCTCCTCGCTTCTGATACCCTGGAGGGCACTGGCAGGTGAAGGAGCCCCGTAAATTGATACAAACTTGGTCGGCTCTGCAGTTGTGTGTTCCTGCTGTGCACTCATCTATGTCTGTCAAAAATGGACACACAGCACAGAAAGGATTTTAATTGGCTGTGATGATTTGGTATTTCCTCCATTTTGCTGTTATTCTTCTCTGAAAGAAATTCAACTTTCACTTTGTCCTTAAAATGTTTTTATAGTTACATGGGAAATGTTTTAAATTATAAATTATTTCACATGTTCAGAAAGTAATTTCATAGATTCCCATATGTACCACTCAAATTTATCAAATGCTAACATTTGCCACACTGGCCTCCATGCAATTTATTTTGTTAAGAAATGAAACATTTCAGATAAAGTTAAAGCCTCACCCATCCTTGTTCCTTTACCCCTCACCTAGAGGCAACCATTGTCCTTGTAGGTGTGACTCCTGCCCTGAGGTACTTTTATACTTTTTTAATACCTGGGTATACCCATTAGCATATGTATTGTTTTGTGTGTTTTGAAATTTAAATGAATTGTATGATCTCACTTTTTTCACTTAATGTTATGCTTTTGAGATAATTTCTATTGACTAATCTTTAAAACTCTTCTCAGACATTGAAAATAATCAAATTGTAATATTATAGATCTTTGTTCTCAATTTGTTTTCTTATTTATGTGTAAATTCTGTTGCTGTTTTTTGCAGATTTTGGGGTAACATGGACGTATAAATCCTTCATTGCAGATTTCAAAGTGCAAAGGATTCAATTTGATCATAGTTTTCTGGGAGAGACAGCTTAGTACAGTTTCAAATAAATATTTTCCCAAAGCATTTTACTTCTGGAAATAATTTATGTAGGCATGTTACAATTCTAGAAAGTTAAAAAAAAAGCTTAGTCTAAACATTTTATTTTTTATCATGATTTGAGTGAAAGTTTACAGAGCAAATTCATTTTCCATACAACAGTTCAAACATATTTTGTTTCATAATATTGATTGCAATCCCATAATGTAACAGCTCTCCTCCCACTTCCTCCCTGTGGTTACCTTTTCCCTATGTCCTTCCTGCCCTTTGAGCTATCTCCCTGTGCAAATCTTGCCCTTCTCTGATGGTTGATTGTTCTGAGAAGTACACCTACCTGGTGTAAATGTTCACTCTATATGCCTGTTGTTTGGCTGGAAGCCACGGGGATGAGTTCAATTCCAGGCCTGAAGGGTCAATAGGGGCCATATTCCTGGGGCCTTCACCAGTCTATATCAGACCAGTAAGCCTGGTCCATTTTATGACTTTCAGTTTTGTTTCACATTTTTCTCTTATTTTCTCTTATCAGAATCTCATATTTTGATCCCTTTCCAAGTGGTTGACAGTGGCAGCTGGGTACAATCTAGTTCTTCTGGTCTCAGGGTCGTGTAGGCTGACGTTCACATGGTTCACTAGTCCCTTGGACTAATTCTTTCCATGAATCTTTGGTTTTCTTAATTTCTTTCATTCATTTTTGCTCCAGATGAGGACAGACCAATCGTTGCATCATAGATGGCTGCTTGTAAGCTTTTAAGACTCTATTCACTACTTACCAAGGCAACAATGAATTTGTCTAGTATGTTCTGCCAATTGAACTTGATGTCCCCTGTGACCATGGTCCTGAGACTGTGGGCCTAGTGTCTCATTCCTTTAGGGTGTTTGGCTGTGGCTAAGGAGTTATCCTAACTTTGGCCCCTGTTAGCTCTATTATATAGATGGTCATTCTTACAGCACATACAAATATATATGTAGAAATATCCTCTGCCAAACTTATATATGGTCATGGGTATATTCTCTTTTGCCCAGACATACCTGATCATTTAGCCTGTCTACCTATGTATCCACCCGTAGATTTTATGTTTATTACTTATAATACGGTATTGTATATGTACAAGTATTTATCTTTGTTATCTGTAGCTCTTGTGCACCCCTCTGTGTCTTTCTTTTCCTTAGTGTTACTGTGTTGGTCACTCACTTTTGGTATATTGCCTTTCCCTTCACCCATATCAGTACTTGTCTCTTACCTATCTAGCAATTTTCCCTCCATTCCCCTCTCATCCTTGATAACCAATAGAGAAACTTTCCTTCCATATGTAAACCTTTCCTTGATTTTTTTACAATAGTGGACTCATACAATATTTATCCTTCTGTGATTGACTTATTTCACTTGGCATAATACCCTCCAAGTTCATTCCATAACAAACTTTTTATAAAGATTTTGTGTGTGTGTGTGTGTGGTCAAAATGTAATGTGACTTTGTGTGTGTACATTCATATTTACAGTAATTTATGATTTATAAATGCATTCATTCAAATCTCCTATATTCTGAAGTCAAATAGCACAATGAAAGGATTATGTGATTTTGGCATTCTTTAACAACCATAGACTCTAAGATTCACTTAAAGCTATCTTAAAACTTGTGATTTCTAGATGACAAATTTAAAATTAAAACCCAGACAGTCTTAAGAGTGCCTTAGATCATCACTGTGGCAGACCCAGGTTGGTGCCATGGGGCTCTTCTATACACAAAAACAATTTTGACCAAAGAGTAAAAAATATTTATAAACAAGCCATCAGTAATTAGAATTACTCCTCAATTCCTGCCTTCCCTTTAAGAAGCTCTGTATAGAGACTAGAGTCCTTGGGTGATGCAAAAGGTTAAGTACTTGACATTTAACCAAGGGATACATAGGAGTGTTTCAGAAGAAAGACTCAGTGATCTGTTTTGGAAAGGTCACAGTCTTGAGGACCCTCTGGGGCACAGTTCTGCTCTGATACACATGGGGTTACCATGAGTTGGAATCCAGTTGATGGGCAATTTTTATGCACACACACACACACACATATATGTATAGCTAGAGGGTGGTCCCTGGTATTGGTTTGTCTTTCAGTTTTTGGTGTTTTTCAAGTAGAGTTGCTGCTGTTGCACTAGCCATTGAAATAGTGTAGGAAGCTTGGATTGTAAGAGGGCTATCCTCAGATACTGGCTTCAGATATCTGAGTGTGGGAAAGATAGGAGAGATTCTTTCCATAAAAAAGAGGAAGGAAGGATGAGATATACATGACTGAAATCTCGTCAATGATTGGATAATAACCTATGAAAGCATCTACTTACATAATTCTTTAAACCTGGTTTTAAAATTTTGGCTGTTTTTTAAAAATTTTATTTTGAAATTATTATTATTTTCAAATCTGTGATTACAAACTCTGTCCTTTTTTACTTGCTATGTATAGGTACAGCAATCTCCCTTTGGAATTATTTGCTCCTTTTTGTATCTTTTATTATTTTCTCATATGCACTTGACGAAAACATTTCTACTGGGATTTCTTCAGAGCTTTATGACTTGCTAATGCAGAAATGACAGCAGAATTCCTATTGTTTTATGTCAAGAACGTTTGCCAGCATTTGCAGTGATAATAGCCCTGAGAGATACCGCAATGTTAGATTCAGATGTGGCAAGTTTCCTCAGTCCGTGCTGGCAGAGGATCAAGGGCTTGAGCTGGCTGCTGCATTTTCTAAGAGAGGCCTCGCCAGTGATTGAGGCTTTTCTTTCTGAGACATCTCTCTGCAAACCGTCTCCACCCCGTCACATTCCTGATGTCCTACGATGAGCTTTATCATTGTTCATTTCTAACTCACTGATAAGTAGGCTATTTTATATATCCTGTGAAATTGTTATTGTTGGGTGCTAGTGTATCAATTCCATTTCCTAGTGACCCTATGTGACATAGTAGAACTGCCTCATAGAATTTTCTAGGCTGTAATATTTACAGGCACAAATTGCCAGGGCTTTCTCCCAAGAAGCTGATGAGTGGGTTTGAACCACCAACCTTTCCGCTTGCAGCTCAGCACTTAACTGTATCATTAGGGCTTCCTTCTTGTGAAACTGATATATCATTAAATACTTTTTAAAAGCAAAAAACAGTGCTACTTGGACATACTCCTTCTTAGGAACCAGTAAAAAACATATTTACAAATAAAAGATAATTACAAGGTATAGATTAAAGCTTGATCAGGTAAATAGATTGCACTGTTGAAAAGAGTTGGGCTGGGGGGGTGAGGAAATCTACTGTGATGTTGTTATAGTCCTACCTTTGAAAAGGATTGTTTAATAAAAATAGTCAATGAGTTAATGTAATTTAATTAAAAACAACCAAATGAAAAATCAAAAACAAACAAAATACCACTGCTTCCACTGCCACTATATTATTTTACTTTCTCTTTGTTGTTGTTGTTAGGTGCCGTGGAGTTGGTTCTGACTCATAGTGACCCTATATAAAATAGATGTAACACTGCCTGGTCCTCTGCCATTCTCACAGTTGTTGCCATGTCTGAGCCCATTGTTACAGCCACTGTCTCAATCCATCTCATTAAGGGTTTTCTTCTTTTTTGCTGACTCTTTACTTGATCAAGCACGATAGCCTTTTCCAGGGACTGGTCCCTCCTGATAACATGCCCAAAGTAAATTAGATGAAGTCTCCATTCACGCTTCTAAGGAGCATTCTGGCTGTACTTTTTCCAAGACAGATGTGTTCATTCTTCTGGTGGTACATGATATTTTTAATACTTTTCACCAACACCGTAATTCAAAGGCATCAATTCTTTGGTCTTCCTTATTCATTGTCCATTTCTTGTATGCAACTCTATGAGGCAATTGAAAATACCATAGTTTGGGTAAGGCATACCTTAGTACTCAAGGTCACATCTTTGGTTTTTATTAATTTAAAGTGGTCTTTTGCAAATTTGACCAATATGTCACTTGACTTCTTGACTATGGCTTCCATGGATATTGACTATGGATCCAAGTAAAATAAAATCCTCGACAACTTCAATCTTTTCTCCATTTTTCATGATGCTGCCTGTTGGTCTACTTGTGAGGATTTCTGTCTTCTTTCTGTTGAAGTGCATTCCAAATTGAAGGCTATAGTCTTTGATCTTCATCAGTAAGTGCTTCAAGTCTTCTTTGCTTTCAGCAAGCAAATTTTTGTCATCTACATGTCATCCTTCAATTGATGACACATTTGTTTTCAAATAATCCAGTATCTTAGATTATTTGCCCAGCAA